GAGTGTGAGCACTGTGAGCGTGTGTGTGAGGGTGAGCACTGTGTGTGTGAGGGTGAGCACTGTGTGTGTGAGGGTGAGCACGTGTGTGAGGGAGAGGACAGCTTTCCCAATGGCTCCTCTCCTTACAAAATGTGGGGCCTGAAAATTGAAACTCAGGCCTGGTACCATCTTTTTTGTTTTCTGTTTTTTGTTTTTTGTTTTTTCTGCAGATTTTTTTAAATTTATTTATTAGTTCCAGTTAGGGAACAAGCTTGTTTCACGTGTAAGTCCCTTCTCCCTCTCCCTCCCCTCACCCTCATCCGCAGAGGCCTCCTTATTGACATCCATGTTCAGGGGTCTGGATCAGTCTTGGGCAGGACTGCATCTGGGGTTGATGTGCTCTGCCTTGTTCAGGCCAACTGTTCCTGTGGGTTTCTCGGACCTGGTACAGACCCTTCATTCTTCATTACTCATTGTTTTACATGATAATCCCAGTTCCTTCTCCCTCCCAGTAGCAAGCATCTTTACCCACTGAAAAGTCTCGCCTGTCCCTTGCAACTATTTTTTACATTTTTTTTTTTTTAAGCCACGGCTTCGGGGCAGAAACTGCCAAGTCTAAGAGGAGAGGAGGCTCCTCGTGTTTAATTTTCAGCAACTACTTTGAGGAGGTGACAATTCATTAACAGGAACAGTGGTGTAGATGGGAACCAGCAGTCCTGTCCCCTGGTTAATGAGAAATGAACGGGTTTTCACAGAGTAGAGGTCACAAGTGTCCTCTTGATTAGAGTAGGAGCAATATGCTCAAGACTTCAGACAAAAGAACATGAGATGAGACAGTCAGAATGTTGCTGGCTCATTGTGGTAGGCTTCCCATTTTTCTGTCCCTGTGGAAAAGGAAGATCCCTGGCTGAACAACAACATCCTGTGGGTTTTAGGAACCTATAGATTTTGAAGACGTGTCACTAACATTTACCAAGGAAGAGTGGGCACTGCTGAACCATGAACAGAAATGCCTCTACAAGGAAATCATGCTGGAGAACTACAATAACGTGATTTCAGTAGGTAAGGCAGCCTCCACATTAATAGAAATGCTTGCGCCTTGGGTGGGTGATACACACATGGAATTCCATCACTCCAGAGGAGGAGGAGGAAGAATGGAATTTTGGGGCCCGTCTTCTTGACTCTGCCTCCTTCCTCCTCACCTTCCTTTGTTTTAACTCCTAGTGTGTGATGCCTCTGAGCCGTTTGTCTTGGGCTTAGACTGGACAGACCATAGTGGAAATGTTATGGCAGTGGAGAGCTTGGGAGAAAAGAAAAGGCAGCTTTTCAGTATAACTTGGGAAGTTTGGTCCAGTGCATACATCAGGAACACTGAATACTGGCTAGAGCCTATAACGGGTATTCACAACTGCAGTGACAGTTGCCTGTGGTTGTTTTTGGCACTCCCAGCATATGGGATGTCCATGTCCACCAGCTCAGGAGTATCATTAAAGATGGTGATTTCTTTTTGTTCTTAGGAAGTTTTCTGCACTTTCTAGTTATTGCATAGCTGTAGCCCCAAGGTTCATGTCTATGTTTAGAGAGAAACAAGAAAAGTAGATAGTCCTGACAGTTCTTTATCAGCTGTCACATTTTTGCAAAGAAGAAAAACTTGTCCAGAGTGTCCCCCAATTGAACAATCTCCCTTTTTCACTTTATGGTTCCTCAGCTGTCAAGGGAACCAAAGAAATCCAAGAAAAGGAAGGGCTGTGTAGTTGTCACTACCCAAGGCCTGAAGTCATCTTGTCACAGCGTGGGGGAAGGAAGGGCTATAGTGCTGCAGCAGGACAGCATTTTCTCTGAGCAGACTCCCCAAGCCCTGTCTCTTTCCCTTGAGCAGAACATCACTTTTCCAAGCCAAATGTGATATCTCAGTTAGAAGAAGTAGAAGACTTCTGGCCAGTGGAGAGAGAAAGTCCTCAAGAGACCTTTCCAGGTGAGATCCAGGCGAGAGGGAGTTCACAAAAGGGATGGGCCTACTGATGACTCTGAGACTAATGTCTTCTAAGTGGTAGAGATTATGAGAACTCAGATAGCATGTTGTAATTACTGTATGTTACTTTCCAGTCTGCAGTCATTTTTCCATGGTCCTGGTGATAAGCCCAGGGCATTTCACACAATCAGCAGTACAAACAGACATGCTATCACTGAACTAACATCCCCAGCGTCAGTCCTTACATGGGGCAGGGATTATAATATTTGGGATTTATGTGCAGTGGTCATGGTGTCGTTTGTGTTGGGAATTTTCTTGTTTTCCTTTTCTGTTTTGTTTTGAGATAAGGTCTTTTGTAGCACAGGCTGGCCTCCAGCCTACTACATACCTAAATTTCTGATCATCCCTCCAGCTTAAAAGTTCTGGGATTACAAATATGTGGTACTACTCTGGCTCCTGTTTTGATTTCATTTCTAGGTTTTGTTGTTGTTGTTAAACACATGGTCATATTGTGTGAACACTTGAGTGAATTCAAGCATTTTAACGTTCTTTTTTGTTATTGACTATTTTCACTTTGCATGTGGTGAACATATACTGATTCTTCTATTTTTTGGAAATACCATCTTTCCATAGAATAAATTGCTGTGTTATGGTACAGAAGCCTCGTCTATGCTCTCATGCTTTGATCTTTTGTGCTTTTCCTCTCTGGGTGCATACCCATAATGCTGTACATTTTATTGTATATTGGTATATTTTCATTCCCCTTGTAATTTAAAAAAAAAAAAAAAACTTAGAATATCTTTGATCTTTAGTCCTCTAGATAAGTACCAGCTTGTCTGAGTTAGTTGAGAATATCCTGTTAGAATGTACATTAAATTGGATTACACTCATATTAATGCTGTCTTACACAACTGTGAGATGAATCTGTCCTGCTTCATTCTCTTAACATTGGTGTTTTAATTTTCTGCTGCTGTGAAGATGAGAGAAAACATTTAATTGAGGGCTTGCTCACAGTTTCTGAGGGTGAGTCCGTGACCATCATTGTAGGTAACATGGCAGGCTGGCAGGCCGAGCAGATTGTTAAAGCAATACCTGAGAGCTTACATCTGATTCACAAGCAGGTGGCAGAGTGGTAGCTAACTCAGAAGGGCATGAGCTTTTGGAACACCCCCAAACACTCGCCTCCTCTAACAAGTCCACAACTTATGAGCTTTGTCAAACATTTCCACCAACTGGGACCAAGTATTCAAACCCATGAGTCCATGGTTATCAGTCTCCTCCAAACCACTACAACCACCAGGCCATCTCTTCAGCCCCATGTTAATGCTTTTCTTTGCTCTGGACAGTGACATAGTTGTATCATCACATACAAACATGATTCTGAAAGGAAAGAGTGGTTATCTGGCCTCACTTAATAGGAAAATTGCCAGGTTTTGGTGAGCATGATCTTAGATGCTGCTTTGTTTCACATCAACATTCATCTGAATGACTAAATTTCCATCTAGTGCTAGAAATGAATGAGAATCCATAATGCTTCCTGTTTCCCTTCTAGAATCCTCCCAGGTGGTCAGAGTGGTTTTCTCCTTCCAATAGTTAGTGGTAACAGTAGATTTAAGAAATGCCTTGCTGTGAGGTTATATGTTTGTGTTAATGTTCATAAATGACAGGGTGGTATTCACTGTCTTTGCTATCT